CACCCACCCTTTGTTGCAGGAGACACTCCCTGAGGACGGCCTGGCAGAGGAGGACGATATGCAAGGTATTTCCATTGAGAGGGCAGTGCAGCAATACGCGTTCCTGGGTCCCGGCTGACTGCACAGCAGAGTTTGAAGGAAGGCTGCTGAGCTGCTGCTACACTGTGATGGCGCCACAGCTGCACGATATGATAGATGCTGCTTAGCTGTGGCCACTTATCTTGCACAACGCTGCCAGGCGCTGAGCATGCGTTGACCCGCTGCTGTGCAAGTTGAGCATGATGATAGCAGGTTGCATGGCTCGCGGACAAGCACGCACCCACCCACAAAAGAATATATCACGGGGGCTGAGCCGCGGGAGGTCGCTGACGTTCATCCTGAGGGCCGCGGCAATCGCCGTCTCGGCTGCTGAGGCCAGGGCAAACGCGACGCCTGAGGGTGGTTGAATGGCCGGCGGCACGCGAGGGAGCGCGCCGTGGGCGGTGGGCGGCGCTGGTGACTTGAGTGAGACGTTTTGTGGTCCGAGCTTGTGTTGCAAGCGGCTCTGCCTGTTTGCTTCCATCCACTGGGGCCTAGGAGTAGCCGTCAAGGCGCAGAGCGGTTTTGGGAGAGGCTGCCCTGCATTCCCAAGCAGCTCACGCACATGCGTTGCACGCCCCTTGGTCCCCAGGCGTGTTGACCAAGTCAAGGCCCCCCGTATCACGCGGCCGCCTGGAGTCGTACGCCTGCGGGGAGGCCAAGACATCGACGAGCAACGCCGCCTCGTCGCGGCCGGCCGCGATGTTCGCCCCGCACAGGCTGGCCGCCTTGCCGCCGGCGGCGCAGCTGCTGTCCTTCCCCTGAGGATCAGGAAGTGCGTGGCGGGGCAGCGCACGGTATTTGATGGGGAGGCACCACGTACGGCGCCACGCAAATAATGCAGGCAAACGGACGGAGGGCCGATGCTTGGCGAAGCTGCTGCTGGGTGCGGCAGGTACTGCATCGCATCAGCGCCCTGCCGGCTTCAAAGCCTGCGTTGCTGGGCTTTGTGGCGCAGGGTTGATGCGAAGCACTGCAATGGCACCAGCGGCAGCGTCTTGACGAGTGAGTAGCCGGCCTCGCAGGTTCTAGCCTGCCAGACCCCTGACTGGCACCGACACCAGGCCGTCACCAGCTGCGTGCGCAGCAGCGCGACCCCCTCGTGCTCGCGCTGACCTGGATCTCCTGCCATCGGGCGAGCATCGCGTGGGCAGCGCCGAGCTGGGCCTTCCAGGCTGCCAGGAGCTCCTGAGGCCGCGCGCTGGCACCCAGGTTTTCGGACACCACCAGTCCCTGGCCTGTTGTGCAAGGTGGCGGGGCGCAGCGAGGTACGTGCTTGGCAGGGCGGGGGTCGACGCAGTGCTGATCTCGACATGAAGTGATCAAGATCAGCTGCCTGAGCCCTTTGGATCAACCCCTTCATACAGTTTTACAAGGCCATAGGTGCCTCACCCGCACATCGTGGAAGCGCTGGCAGTGCCAGCGGGACCAGCAGCATCAGCAAAAGCGTCGCTGCTCGTGCTGGCGCGGAGGCGAGGTGCGCCACGCCACGCTGTGTCAGATCTCCGCGTGCTTGGTGAGATACGTTGTCATTGTTGTTCACCGCCTTTGAGGCCTCCATGACCGCTATAAACAGCTGTCGCACTCGGTGTGTGATGTCGACAACGAATGCAGGGTTATAAGCGTCATAATGCGATTCGAATCAAGTTTTTGTCGGGAATTTAAGGCTCTGAATCTGTAGATATGTGTGCTGACGTCTCGGAGTTCGGACAAAGACGTGCGCGCCTGATGATTGCCTCCCAACAACTCGACCTGCACATGCAGCGCCACTTGTGATCATGACCAATACTAGATGCATGAATAACACAGAATTACAGCTGTAATCATGCCGCTCGTCAAGACACCCTGCGTAATCTGCGTGCTGCCGTTGGCCCTCCTTGCCATCGTCTACCTGGCGTGCCCCGCCAATGCGAACGGCGCTGGCATGCTCTTGTCTCTTGACAGCACAAGCGTGAGCAGAAATCGCACCCAAAAGCAGCATCGATCAGCTGTGTCACCTCCCCAGGGGCCGACGACACGGCGCCCTGTCACCGCCGCAACGACTGCAACACCCACACTGTGTATGTGTGATTTTTGCTGAGCTTGCATAGGGGCCCTGACCCCTGTACCAAAACCAACAAGCCCTCCTGATGCTCACTAATGCTGCAATCTGCACGTGCCTGCTGCTATGTTCGTGTTCAGATGGCCGCGCTGCGTGCTCTGCGCCAGGGAGGGGGCTGCAGCGCGTGCGCCAAGTGTGCCGACTGTGAGTCACCCCGCCCAGACCGCGCATTGCACGGATACCACGTGCAAGCACCGAATCGTCGGCTAGCCATCCCTTGGGCTGCAAACAAGCCAGGCATTGCCAACGGCATGCATGCATGCTGCCATGCAATCATGCACGCCTCCGCACGGGATGCCACCAAGTGGCCGCAGGAACATGGGGAAGGTTTTCAAAGGATACATCTCCTTGGATTACAGCGGCGGTGTTGAGCGGCGCCAGTCCAGCCTTGCATGCAAACAATGGAAGCCCACGCAAAACTCACTGTGAAGCTCCCCGCTCCTGCCTCCAACGGAAAGCAGGTTGGATTTGTTCGCTCGCTGCCAAGCCCAAGGTGTGCTGGAACGGCAAGCAGGCCTGCCAGGACTGCAAGAAGTGTGGCGAGTCCTGCCCCGGAAAGCGGGTCAAAGTCAATAGCTACGCTGACTACGCCAGCTGCGCCTACTGCGCGAGCTGCAGCGCCTGCTGTGCTGGCAACAGGTGGGTCCGTCGATCGCGTGTGCATCGCATTGGCCGCAGCCAAGCACAAAAAGTATGTGAAATAACAGTGCTGCACTCAATGGAAGCACGACAACTGCCTGCGCTCAGTTGGCTTTCCTCCACAACCGCTCTGGGTGTTGCTTTCTCTGAAGTTGTTTGGCCGCTGCGCGTCTCAAGTCAGGCAACCATGAGCCACAACATCCTCCCTTGACATCACCTTGCAGGGAGCAGCCTCAATTCTCTGGATGTGCCTTCTGCAACGACTGCGATTACTGCTCTTACTGCAACAACGGCCGCTGACCTGCACTGGGCGCCGCAGCAAGAACCACTTGTCAGGCTGCGGCCACCAGCTAAATGAGGCCATAGGGTCCCGCGGGCCACATGAACGCGTACATGCTTCTTCTTGATACGAATTCAAGTTTCCAAGATGTGCTCCAATCAATGCGGCGCACACACCCAGCATGGCATGTGCACAGTCACCTCTGGTGGTCTGTTGAATTCCCCTCTGTGGCAGTTGCTGCACAGCTGCTGCAGTGTGCGACCACCAGCATCCTTGCATTGAGCAAAGTACTTGGAGACGTGCCAAGGGGTTCAGGACGCCGCGTCCAGCCATGCATACTTGCCAACCACTTGCACACCCAGAGGTGGGTGACGGTCGACACCCTGCGCAGTGACCATCAAAGGTGATCCTTGCCATGTGTGCGCCAGACGGTCGCGAGCTGCGAATTTGACATCAGGAAAATTGCGTGTTACGATCGATGGCTATGAATGAGTAATCAGCAGCTTCAGTGATCGCTATGAGCCTGACGCGGCGATCTCTCGGCCTCGCTGGGGCCACGTTGGCGGTTTCTGTGACGTCCAGACGCCCGGCAACAGTGATAGCCATGGCACGGATCGATGCGCATGGTGGGCTTCGGGATGTCTGCTGCTGCATGCCATGGCTTTCTGCACCACCACTCGACGCGCATGGCGGGGCTCGCCGCTTGCCGATTTTCCCTGCTACGGGCAGCTGATGTTAGCAAAAGCCGCATATATACCATGCACGCGCCAATGGGCTGCGGGCAACAGCTGCAGCGGACGGGGGAACGGATGCAAGCGCCCGCAGTCGCAGGAGCCTGTGCGGGCATCGGCGCCTCCGCTAAGAAGCTTCCCACTGCGCTCCCTGTCTGCAACGACTCATACATATAACTCGTTCAGAAATGCAAGTTACCACCCCAACCTCCGAGGGACTGCCGGCCTCCCCGGAATCACACTTCACATCCCCACACCGTCGCTCCCGCCCACCGCGCCTTGCCTCAACCCATCCCCTTGCCTTGGCCACCGACAACCTCGTGCCCCGCAAAGTCCACGTGTGGGCGCCCGCGGAGCAGCAAGACAAGTTCCCCTACGCGGGCTCCCTCATCGGCGCGAAATCGACGGGCCCTGAGCCGCCCCTGCCGGGGTATGCGGAGCTGTTGTTGGATGAGTTTGCGGCAGCTGGGGTCAGCGGCGCCATAATAGTCCAGGTGGGGAGGGGGGGGAAGGGGGCGCCCAGACTTGATTATGCCGGGCACATTTTATCGATTGGATGGATCCGGCCCTGAATTGCCGTGGAAGATGGGTAGCCGAGATGGGGCAACGAGGGGCCACAGCTGACTGGGTCGGCGCAGGGGCGGTTGGGGGTTGGGGTGACAAACCTGCAGTCAAGAGATGGCGAATCTGCTTGTAGGGAAAGGCACCAGCTGTGCAGCTCTGAGGTGGCAAGCGGCTGCTGAAGGGGGAGGTGTCTTGGCACAGCATGCAGTAACTGCACCAAGCCAAGTCATGTTGTGCTGATTCACGTGCCCTCCCATCTCCCTTGCCCACTCAGCATGCAATCACTCCAGCTTCTGACCCACACACCCTTGCCACAGCCCGGAAATCACCTGTACGACCATTCTTACGTGACATCAGTCATGGAGCGCCACCCCTCGCGCTTCATAGGATGCCTGCTAGCCGACCCCCGGCCAGACGGTGAGGCGTGGGCACATAAGGCATGCTGCTGTTTGGTTCAATGGGGTCCGCAGCAACAGCCTGATTCTGAACCTTGCTGTTACTAGAACTGTGGAGACATAAGGAGTTGTGAGATTTTTGGGGGGTATTTGGATGGCAATGACATGCCCAAATGGTTCTCGGCAAATGGATCTGGTTTGTGCGAGCCAGCTAGGCCGGCGCCACGATCCTCAAGACCCGGATGCATGGGGGAGCGCGACACGCCCGGCTGCTGCGACACGCGCCGCCCCCGCAGGCGGCGGCGCGGCCGAGGTGGAGCGCCTGCACCGGCAGCACGGGTTCAGGGCGGTGCGCTTCAACCCTTACCTCTGGCCAGAGGGCGAGAAGATGACCAACGAGGTGAGGCAGGATTCAGAGCTGTTCAGGTGCTGATCGCGCGGGTTCTGTGAGAGCTGCAGAAAATTTGACCTGGGTTGCGGCATTTGAAATTTGGCCGCAGGGTGCAGACGGATGCTGGGTCCTATGTCAACATGCTTGCTGGGTGCAAGCTGTCAACTGAGATCTGCCCTGCAAAGTTCCCTTGATATAACAGTGCTGTCAGCATGTTCAAGGTGTGCCCTGATGCAAGCGGCGCCTTCTTTTTTGTCCCAACCCTTCGTAACACCCCAGGTCGGACGGGCCATGTACCAGGCAGCCGGTGACCTGGGCATGCCCGTCTGCCACATGCCGTTCAAGGGGCTCCTCGGCCACATAGACGAGATCGAGGACCTCGCAACCTCGTACCCTCGTACGCCCGTGATCATCGACCACTTTGGGTTCTGCAAGGGCGGGGACACGGGGTCTGAGGAGTGGCGGCGGCTTCTGAACCTAGCGAGACACCCCCAGGTGCTTGCGTTGCCTGAGGATGCACACAGGCCTGCACCTTTTGGCCTTTGACGCGCCTGCAACATCTGCATTCCCGGCTGGATTCGCCGTCGCTGCTGGCAATTCTGGTCAAGCGGGGCTGAGGGATCCTGCAGAGTTGTCTGTGGCGTCAACGGTGCAGCACAGAGCTTAAATTCCCGTGATCCTTGAGACTGGAGTGGCAGAGTGCTGGGATTGCCTGCTCGCACCGCCGACTCGACTCCCCGATTGATGCTGTGCCCTGCATCTCTCCCGCATGTCTCAGGTGTATGTCAAGACTTCAGCCTTCTTCCGTGTATCGCAGCAGGTATGTGAGCAACTGCAGCATCGGCTCAGAGAACGTTTCTTTGAGGGTCTGTTGGCCAGAGCACTTGCTTGGGGCGTGCGACGCTTGGTCGGGCAAAGAACCAACACCCTAGCAGCAGCAGGCTTGCTCGTACCGGGCATAGTAGCCCGAGCTGGCCGTGGCGCCGTAGCTACTCCTGCGGTGCCTCCACTTATCAGGCCGGACCTGCCTGCCAGTCCAACTCCCCTTCAAACCCTGGATCACTCTGCGCATGCTTCAGCACAGATCAGCCACCCACGCCGTCCCTCGACAGACCGCCCGCCACCCAACCATGTACCGCAGCCCTACCCTCATAAGGACTCCGTCGCGGCGCTGCGCACGCTGGCGGACGCGTTTGGTGCCCAGCGGCTGATGTGGGGCACCGACTGGCCCTGGGTGCAGGAGCACGGCGGGTGAGTGGGTGGGTTGGGGCACGGGGCGGGCCGGCCTGGTGGGGTTGTGTGAGGCATATGGGCAGTGGTTGTGCAGACAGCGCCTGGTCTACCGGCTTCTCCATCTTGGTTTGATTTGGGTTTGATCATCTTGGGGATAAGGGCATAGGGCTTCGGGCCTGGAGCGCTCCAGGACCTCTGGCTTGGGTGCGTTTGGATCTGCGGGTGGGCTGTTCGGCAGGCGCAGGCCGCCCCAGGTAGGGCCTTACGCATGGCAGCTCACGGGCCTGGCCCCATCGCTGCCATGCCGGTCGCAGGTACTCCAAAGCATGGGGCTTGCTGGATGAGGCCGACCCCGCGTTTGACTCGTTGACCGAGGAGGAGCGGCGCTGGGTGATGGGCGGCACGATACAGGCCTTGTTCCCTGGCGCCTGGGCGGCAGAGAGCGTCGGCGGCACATCCTAGCTAGGTCCTCTGTTGGGGCCCTTGCAATTTTGCTGGCTTTTGCCTGATGCGTTCGGCGCTGCCGCTACTTGTGCTACCTCGACACCTTTCTAGCGCCGTCGGGCAGGCATCGCTCGAGAGTCATGGCCAATCCATGCAAATGTGCATGACTCACGCTGGCTGGGTGTCGGACACCCAGCCGATGGATGACCGCTTGCTCTGCACGCCGCAAGGTGTGCCTCAATCATTCGCTTCCGTGTTGTTTAAGGTCTGCTGTGCATTTCACCCTAAGAACTCCCACGGCACTCAATTCAAAAAAGAAACGGGGCGATCCAGAATTGAAACTAGTGTGTTACAAACACGTATGCTTGATTTGCCTCATGACAACTAGATCGGCTGGCTGAACAAAGCGCAGCAGGTGGGCGCCGCCCCAGTTTCGTCAACACCACTGAACCAGGTCACGTGCAGCAGGCGCCAACAGGGAGATCCCAATCGCCGCACCCGGCCAGCTCAATCCCTGCCACACTAGGCTGCGATGAGGGCAGGAGCTGCATGTCAGGCAATCCATTGCATGCTAGCATAAACAGCATACGCGTGGATGGTTTGACAAGTGTCTGCAAGGTCAGGAGCCCCCATGCAAGATTTGTGTTATTCTAACAAAAAACATAGTGAGAATTAGAAGGGGCAGACCAAAGCAGGGGGGCAGGTTGCTGTGTAATCCAGCTTGCTCTTTACGCGGCGCCCCCAGACCCGACGGAGTGGGCATTGCAATTGGGCACGTGCGACCAGGGGGTTCACGTGAGCGTGTGGCCCCAAACTTCATCCCCCAGAAACCTTGCACCTGAGTTGTGTACAAAAGTTGAATGTTGTCATCCCTCCCCCCCAAGAGTACGTCCCTCGCAAACCCGTACGGACACAGAAGGTTGACACGAGCTCAACAATCCACATCCACAACGGCCACGTCGGGGCGCCTGAAAGAAAGAGCAGCGGTGCGGGCAGGTGATTGTCTCCTCGACGGCGTCAAAAACCAACCTCCTGCTCATGTCCACAGTTTGAATGCCATTGCACGGACGCCCACGCCCGCGCGCGCGCGCGCACACACTCACACACACATGCGCGCGCGCACAAACGAACGCACGCACACAGTGAGCCAAACAAGCACAGGCATGCAGGGTGCACCTGTGATAATGTGTTATCAACCATGTGTGCATGCGCGAGCGCTGCACGAGGCGGCTGGAGCAGTGCGGCCTTCAGCAGCAGGCAGGTGGCTCGAGGACGCCACAGCAGGGGCGGGCGAGGGTCGGGGACGACTCAGTGGGTCAGCTTCTATGACCCCTGCCCGCAGCCGCTGGACGAGCGCCAACCACCCATGAGAAGCCCCCAGCAATCGAGTCCAGGGCCAATGAAAACATAATGAGTCAGCGCATTATCACGCCAAGCGCTGCGCCAACAAACCCTGCCCTTTCCCCTCCCCAAAAGAATAGCCACCAACCTGCTCATGTTTTTGTTCCATCTTTGAAACTCTGTTGCGCATGTGTGTCAGATCTTGCGTAAGCACACTTGCACAACTGAGTAGTGTAGTGTCGAGGCCATGCTTCCATGCACTCCCATGCACATACAGGCGAGCCCAACAATTTACACGAGACATGTGCACACTCCTGTTTGATACAGCCCTGTTGCACACACACCTTTTGTGCACGCGTGCTCTGCACGGCCAACACGGCAGTGCGTAAGTCGCTGCGAGCGCCCGCAAGCACCATCCGCGAGCCAATGCAACCTGCTTGCTGCACAGTCAGTCGCGTTCTTTGAGGGAAACGTAGAGCAAGAATAGCTATGTAAGAAAACACGCCGAAGCCAAGAGCGGGGAGAAAGGCCAGCCAGAATTACCGCAACAGAATGCGCAGCGCCGCTGCGAGCAGCCGCGCACAAAGCCCACCCACAGCCCAAGCCTGCAGCCGCCGCAGGTGTGGCGGACGCGGAGGGCGCCGCCAGTCTCTGCGTCGACGTGCACATAAACTGCTCATCAGATCCTACGATGGCCTGGGGCCGGCAGCGGCAACATCGTCGTCATCCTCGTCAGCGTCATCGTCAGCGTCATCGTCATCGTGGGATGACGGCGCGGGGCCCTTACCCCTGGCGAAGCGCGTGATCATGTCGAGGGCGGCCTCGGGCTGGTCCATGGGGACCATGTGACCCTGGGGGGTG